TTCTCTTCTGAAGACTAAACAATCCCAGTTCCCTCAGCCTCTCCTCATAAGTCATGTGCTCCAGTCCCCTAATCATTTTTGTTCCCCTCCGCTGGACTCTTTCCAATTTTTCCACATCCTTCTTGTAGTGTGGGGCCCAAAGCTGGACACGGTACTCCAGATGAGTCCTCACCAATGTCAAATAGAGGGGAATGATCACTTCCCTCAATCTGCTGGCAATGCCCCTACTTATACAACCCATAATGCCGTTAGCCTTCTTCGCAACAAGGACACACTGTTGACTCATATACAGCTTCTCGACCACTGTAACCCCTAGGTCCTTTTCTGCAGAACTGCTACCTAGCCATTCGGTCCCTAGTCTGTAGCAGTGCATGGGATTCTTCCGTCCTAAGTGCAGGACTCTGCACTTGTCCTTGTTGAACCTCATCAGGTTTTTTTGGCCCAATCCTCTAATTTGTCTAGGTCCCTCTGTATCCGATCCCTACCCTCTAGTGTATCTACCACGCCTCCTAGTTTAGTGTCATCTGCAAACTTGCTGAGAGTGCAGTCCACACCATCCCCCAGATCATTAATAAAGATATTAAACAAAACCGGCCCCAGGACCGACCCTTGGGGCACTCCGCTTGAAACCGGCTGCCAACTTTGCATGACAGTGTATTTACACCATTTATACATCTCACTAGCATCTTGGGTACCCAAACATAATAATGCTGCTCCCAAGCTCAGAGTGCAAGTTCTAAAACAAAAATCAGGTTACATTTTCCAGAATCTTTACTGGCTACTTAGTCACCCAGATGTTTCCATGGCTACATATCAAACATGCATTGTGAGAATGTGCCTAGTTCTGCTCATCTAACCTTGTCAGGGTGCACCTGCTGGGGTTATTTCACTCTGAAACTGACGAAGATGGCTGGCATGAAACCAACAAGAGGAGGCACAAGAGATGGACATTGGTGTGAAATTGATTGGTGAATTAGGGGCTCTTTTTGTCCTTTTCATTTTCTGATGAGTGCTGCAGGTGAACTTTGCAGTTATGGCGAGGAGGAAAAATGTCCTTATTCTGGAAGAAAATAATATGGCACCCTAATGTACATGCTGCATTAGCATAATAACATATATTAGTGCACCATTAGGGAATAATGTAATACATTTGCTGTACTCTAGCACAGCCCAGATTCCTCCACACTACACAGTATTATTGGAAGGGGTTGCTGGTTCCAGCCTTAATTATGGAGGCATGCAGGCAGATTGCATGCAAAGGCGTGGGCTGGAGACAGAACACCGTGCGGTGCCAGAGACAGAACCTTCCCTTTTTTACACCTGCTCTAGGTCATGTTACCTGGTGAGCTGACCTTTAAGGGGGTTGGGGTTCAGCTGCACTTATGCCAGGCTCAGACCATCTCCCCAGGTGAAGGGAATAAGTTCAGGGGTCACAAGATGGGAGCAGATGACTCCAAATCAGGCCTGCTGGGAGTTATAAAGGGCAGTCTGAGCTCAGAGAGCTTTCAGGGAGAGAAGGCTTGGGGAGTGCAAAGAAGGCTGGGCTTTGCAGAGGGATCCTGTGGGAAAGAGGGCAGCTCACCCCTCTCCAGAGTTCCTAGTTCTAGGGCAACTAAGGCGGCAGCAGCACCCAAGGCCAGTTCCCTGCTACACGTCAGTGTAACTCCAGGGGTTTCAGGGTGGTCACACAGGCATAGAGCTGGTGGGGATGGAGAGGCAAGTCCCACAGAGTTAGGACTGAGGGCATGACTACAGTTGCAGATGTAGAGCGCTGAGAGTTAAACCAGCCTTCGGAGAGCGCAGTAGGGAAATTGCTGCAGTCTGTCCACACTGACAGCTGCTTGTGCACGGGCGTGGCCACATTTGCAGCACTTGCAGCGGCTTTGGGAGCGGTGCATTATGGGCAGCTGTCCCAGCATGCAAGTGACTGCAACATGCTTTTCAAATGGGGGTGGGTGGGGTGGAGTATGACAGGGAGTGCGTTGTGTGTATGTGGGGGGAGAGAGTGTGGGGTTTTGGGGGGCTGAGAGCATGTCAGCATGCTGTCTTGTAAGTTCAGACAGCAGCAGACCCCCCCTGTTCCCTCCCCCCCCCCACCTCTCTCTCTCACTCACTGCATTCCACAGTAACGGCTTGCATGCTGGCTGTCAGAAACGGAGTTTTGAAAGGGCATTTCCGCATTCCTACAGGAGTTCAAAACAATAACAAGAGTGGCCAGTTGACTTAAGGGGATTATGGGACGTTTCCGGAGGCCGATCAGAGCGCAGTAACCCAACGCCTCGTTCACACTAACGCTGTGCGTTGTAGCCAAGGTGCAGCAAATGTTACTCCTCTCGCAGAGGTCGAGTACCAGCAGCGCTGTAGCCGCGGAGTCCGGGTGCTCTACATGCCTTGCCAGTGTGGACGGGGAGTGAGCTAGGGTGCCCGGAGCTCCTTTATTGCGCTGTAACTCGCAAGTGTAGCCAAGCCCTAAGTCTGAAACTACATTCCCATCCTGGCCAAGGCTAGGAGTGCTCTGGGGGCAGCATGCTGAGCTGCAGTGGAAGGGGGGTGAGTTTGTAATGACCTAGAATTACCGCCTGGAAAGATGGGATCTAAGGAGCAAAGGGGACATACTGCAGCACCTGATTCCAAGCAGTGTTACCATATTGCAATGGGCCACTACCACAGGGGGTAAATCCCCCCCTCCATAACGTGTTCTCATCCTCACTCTCAGAGCCAAGTCCTCAGATTGAGTGAGTGCAGCCCCACTGACCTCCCCGGCATTCTGCCCAGTTACACCAGCAGAGTATTTGGTTCTATCTGGCATGGTGCAGGATTCCCCCCTCCGATTCAGGACTGTCCCATGGGAATCCCAATGGGTAGTGTCTCTGCAGCAAACCTTCACTGGCTGGAGGAAGTAGGGATGTTGCACCAGCTGCATGGGTTGTTGAGATTAGGTGATGCCTTGGAGATGGAAGAGGAAGGGAGGCCTTCAGAAGGCTGGGAGGATTCCTCCCCTGTGGGGAAAAAACACACAAGGATTATGACCCATCAAGAAAGTGGAAGTGGAATAGAAGACATGAGGCCCATATCTTGCCTACACTTCCTATTGCCCTCATGTGCAGGGCCGGATGAATGTTTTGTGGGCCCAGCACCAAACATATTTGTGGGCCCCCATGGAGGCAATGGAGCCTGGCGCGGGGGGTCGGTCCCCAGAGCGAGGGTCCAGCCAGAGGCAATGGGGCCTGGCATAACAGGGGCACTGTTTACAAACCGGCAGTTGCCAGATGCATAGTGGCCCACCTGGCCCTGTGCTGCCAGATTCCCCTTTCCCTTGGAGGTGGGCCCATGCTGCGCCACACAGCCCCCCTGGCCAACACCGGAACCCCCAATTCCCTATGGCCAGACCCCCCCCAAACCTGCTATGCCCAGCACCTCCCCCACCTGCCCCACAAATGCACAGCACCCTGCACACCACCACCCTCACCCAGCGCCCACCTGCCCAGAGCCCCACCACCAGGGCTGACCTTAGGATTTATGGGGTCCTACACAGTATTATTAAACTGGGGCCCCTATGCCTGAACTGGGGCACAGCCACCACCCTTGCCCGCAGACCCCCAGAAGACTTCTCTCCCCCCCCCCCCCCCACTGCTGACACACACTGAGCTTCGTATGCAGCAGATGCTGCGGCAGCCGGGGCTCGCAGCCCGGGAGGGAGAGACGAGGCACCAAAGGATACTGAGCCGCCCAGCCCGTCTGACGGCAGCGGAGAGTCACAATTCACCACAGAGACCCGTGTACCCTCTCCCTCACGCAGAATGCGCCCGCCGGTGCATTCGGCTCTGGGAATACGGCCCCTGCCTAAGGAGACAGCAGCGCGCGCTGGGTGTGCAGGAGCCGACCTGCTCTTACCTGCTGTCCCAGTGGTGGCCCAAATTTTCCGGTGCCCTAAAGACAGCCCTGCCCACTGCAACTGCCCAGCACCCCACACAGAAGCTCCATTCCCTAGTGCCCCAACACACACAGATCTTCCCCGTCACCTCACAGCCCAGCACCCCCCAGAGACCCACTCGCCACTCCTTGCCTCCTGGCCGCACTCACTGGCCCTGCTGGGAGGTGACTGTGTCTGCTGGGCTGAGCCGGCAGCGCAGCCAGGGCTGGTCCCGAGGCTGGTCCCAGGGCCAGGAATCACTCCAGCTCCTCGGGAGTGCAGCGATCAGCCAGGGCAGGGCCTGTTTCGCCCGGGCTCCCTCAGGACCCACTTGCCTGGAGGGGCCCAGGCAAGCCCCCCACACTGTCACCCCCCCACACACACCTGGCTGAGACTGGCCAGGCTTCTGCACCAGTCCCCGGCAACTCAGCTCCGGGGAGACAGGCCATACCCAGAGCCGGAGCGGCGCTGGGGTCCAGCCAGGGGGCAGAGAGGAGCAGGGAGGTGGGGCCAGGGGACAGAGAGGAGCAGGGGATGGGGCCAGGGGGCGGAGAGGTGCCCTCGGCCTGAGGAGCAAGTGATGGGCTGTGGGGAGCCAGCGAGTTGGCAGGGTCTCGGGGCACAGTGCAAGTGGAGCAGGCTGGGGCCCTTTCTGAACATGGGCCCGGCTCCATAGAGCCGCTGGTGCCATTGTAAACCCGACACTGCTCATGTGCCTTCAGATCCACCTCTCTCTGATGTCATGCAGACACAGATCTCTCGTGCAGTCTCAATCCATAATCAAATAAACATTTGCTCCTTATCACATTCACTCTTGAGAACAACAAAGTGAAACTTCAGACTCCATGTATGGTTCCTTAAGCACATGTTGGAGTCCCATGCTTTAAAGGAATCTCTCTGCTTACATGGCTTCCTGCTGCATAAAGCATTAATTCTGCAGAAAAGGACCTAGGAGTTACAGTGGACAAGAAGCTGGATATGAGTCAACAGTGTGCCCTTGTTGCCAAGAAAGCTAACAGAGTTTTGGGCTGCATAAGTAGGAGCATTGCTAGCAGATCGAGGGATGTGATTATTCCCCTCTATTCGGCACTGGTGAGGCCACATCTGGAGTATTGTGTCCAGTTTTGGGCTCCCCACTACAGAAAGGATGTGGACAAATTGGAGAGAGTTCAGCGGAGGGCAACGAAATGATTAGGGGACTGGGGCACATGACTTACTGAGGGAACTGGGCTTATTTAGTCTGCAGAAGAGAAGAGTGAGGGGGGATTTGATAGCAGCCTTCAATACCTGAAGAGGGGTTCCAAAGAGGATGGAGCTAGGCTGTTCTCAGTGGTGGCAGATGCAATGGTCTCAAGTTGCAGTGGGGGAGGTCTAGGTTGGATATTGGGAAAACTATTTCACTAGGAGGGTGGTGAAGCACTGGAATGGGTTACCTAGGGTGGTGGTGGAATCTCCTTCCTTAGAGGTTTTTAAGGTCAGGCTTGACAAAGCCCTGGCTGGGATGATTTATTTGGGGATTGGTCCTGCTTTGAGCATGGGGTTGGACTAGATGACCTCCTGAGGTCCCTTCCAACCCTGATATTCTATGATTCTATTAATTGAGTTTTGTTGGATTAGGGACTGTTCAGCTACATCATGCAACCACCAGGACTGGCAGGTTTGGCTCAGAAGAGTTTCAAGATAACAATAGCTGAGAATGCTCTAAGCCCACATCAAAGCACATGGAAGAATTGGGTGTGTTGTAGGTTGATTAAAAGGCATCTACAGAGTTGTGTGGAAGCCTGGCACTGGAAGCAGTGAGCGCTAAGTCACAGCAATGAAGAGGATGGTGTTGAGACCCAGAACTGGAATAAGGTCAGTAGTGATCAGGACTTAGTGCATTTCAGAGCTCAGAAGAGTGATGCTGTCCAGGGTTGGAATGATAAGCAGTGCTGAGGGTCTCTAGTGAGGGGTTTTGTGAAGGGCGCTAGGAATCATAGACTCGTAAAAGTTAGAGATGGAAAAACTTTGTTAGATCATCCAGTCCATCTTCATGCAAAGGGGGAACTCTTCCCTACAGCAGGTTTTCTAGTGTTTGATAATAAGGACTGTAATAAAGAGCACTGCAGGCCAGGAATGAGAAGCTTCAGCAGGGCTGTGTGAGGTCCCACAACTGGGATAGCCTGGGTCATTGTGCATCCGGACCAATGTGGTGCATTGGCAGTGCTGTGCCACATGCTCCATGCATTGGATAGTGGGGGGTGCTGTGAATCAGGACCAAGGTGCTACGACTATTGTTGGAGGAAATGGGTCCCGGACAGGAATATCAGGGGGCACTACCAGGTATGATTGAGGGTCATTGGCAGAGCTGTGAGAAGGCCCAGCACTAAGATAGTAAGGTGTGCTGCAGATCAGGATAGAGCTGTGGGCTGTGGGTCAGGACTGAGATGCTTTGGCAGTATGTGCCTATGCTTGCAGTGGCACAAACGGAAAGGAAAGAGAGCTTGCTCGCCAGGCGGGTTTTCCAAAGCTCTAGATTTCACCTTTAATGTATTTCAGTGCATGATCCAAGCACATTATCTGCATGAAATGCTGCATTAGCATCAAAATGAAGGGAGTTCTGTTCAATATATTAAAGTGTCTCTGATGGGTTTGGAGGTAGCTTAGCACAAGAGAGGCATTAAGGAAGTAAATGCCACATTTGTATTCAAAAGAGCTTTCTTTTTTCATTTAAAGTCATTGATGTAAAAAGTGGTGCTTAAGATGGCTTATAAAAGCAAGAGTGCATCTTTGCTAGTAGACAAAATGCCGTGTTTATGTTGAATGGTAAAGGAAAGCAAATAGCCCATTTAGAAAATATATTTCTTTGGTGCCATATCATTAGCTAGAGTGGCAGAGGCCTGGCAAGGGTTTGGATGTCTCTCTGTGGATCACAGCAGCTGACAAAGAGAGGACTACAGGCAAGGCATTTTCCCTGTTGATAGCTCCCATGATGCTCTTTTTCATTTCCAGCCTAGAATCACAAATGCCTTTTTGACTGCTGCTCTTGCAATGAACCCTGCAGTTCAGCCCAACTGTTCTCACCTGTTCTTTTGTCATAATTTCTATTGCAATAGCCCTCACCAAGATTGGGGCTCAACAGTCATATAGGAAGAAAAAAGCCCTGCCCCCAAACACTTGGGATCTAAATAGACAAGACGGACACACAATGCATTAACATTAGCCCTGGTCAGAAAAGGTAGCTTATTTTTGGTGAAAAATTTCAAAGAAAACAAACATGTTTTATGTTTTCTTGGTGTTTTACTCTACATTTTCTGGGTTTTTGTCAGCAAATGCCCCATTTTCCACGCATCAAAAAATGTTGGTTTTTGACAAAACCCCACAAACTATTGGCTAAAAGTGGAAATTTTCTCGTGCAAGTTTTCATTTTGTCAAAAAGCACATTTCCATCACAGCTTGTTCCTGAGGAAAAAATGTTTTAAGCCATTCCAATCCATGTGGCAGCTGGCAGAAAAGGTCCAATTCTCTAAAGAACTTGACATTCGATGGCACTTAGGTGCTTTCGACCGCATTACCCATGCTCAAGGTCACCTGGGAAGTCTGTGGCAGAGCTGGGAAAGGAACTCTAATTGTGCGAGTCCTACTCCAGTGCTGTACCACAAAGCCATCTTTCCAGCTGGGCCTGGCCATGGGCCTTCTGGCTGATCCCGTGTCCCAGTGAGAAGCCAGATGAAAAATTTCTGCCCTGCTTCAGCACACTGTTTGGATCCTGTGGTAACTGCTAGCAAAGGCAACTCTGGGTCCAATTCTAAGACAGTGTGCAGTGCCCCCCACTGGTATGATACCATCAGGGCAGTCACTTTCTATCCCTCTTTCTACACAATCACCCTAATCCACATCATGGTTGAAATGGCATCCACCCTCCCAGAGGCTACCTGTAGCTGCACTGTAACTGGCATGTGCTGACAGGTGACCTTTTGGCTCAGGGACTATCTGTGGCAAAAAAAATACCCAGGCCACACTGTGATTTGAAGATGCCCAGTGTCCTGGTGGTGAAGCCCCAAGCATTGTGCTTGCCCAATCTGCTGAAGCAACCCCACTTGCCCT